CAATTACACCCATGCTTTCTTCATCAGTGGCCCATAGATGGCGCCATTACCTTTGGCTGGACACAGAATTACTCCAGGCTGCCACTCATTAGAGTACAGTTTTTACAATGTGTGTGAATCTGGTCTTCCTTAAAATTTTGTAGGACTGCATGATAGTTATAATGGAATCCTGGCCTTCCAGGGATTCTAGACCCCCTTAATAAATGTAGCAAGCGATACTAGTAATCCCGTCCCTATCCCTCACTCCCTGGGCCAGGACCCGTGAGGCTTCAGTAAATGTATAAAGTAGACAGATTCTTTGAACAGAGAGAGAAAGGTGATGGCTTTATGGAATCGCCTTGTCCCCAAAGAGCAGACACAGACAATCAGTCTTGGCCTTCAGAAACCAGCCAGAGTGGAGGTGGCCTCTCTCCCATCAGCTGTGACTGTTAAATATAGCAAGCCCTGATGGGGACCAGTCCCAAGAGTCTAGAACATTTAGAAATGTCAGGGTTCCTGTTATGAGGCGACCTCCTGCAAACAGGAGACAGGCGGCAGGGGGACTCCACGTTTGCCTGCTCCAGCAAAGCTGTTCTTGCCAAGGGCAAGAAGACCTCCACCAAAAAAGAAAGACACCTGGACAGCAAGTGCCTCCTGATGTGATCCAAGGACGACTCACGAGGTTCTATTGTCCAAAACAGGAAAAAAAAGAAAAATCACACCTAAATCTGATAAGTCGTCTAATTCTAATTGCCAGGGAACAGAGCAACATGGTTAAAGACACCAGAGGGGCCAGCAAAATCCAGAGTGAAAAGTTCTAAGGATATATGGTCTAGTCTTTACATGTGCACATGCGCACACACACACCAAGTTGAACAGTTACAGATTTTAAAAGCCCAAAAGAATGTGTCAGACAGACACAATGTATATGGAGTTTGTTTGTGTCTTTTTACAAGTAGCTGAAATAAGCTACTTGTAAAAAGACACATGAGATAATATAGAAATACAGAAAATGACTAGATATTTGGCAAAGTAAGAATTAGTACTAATTTGTAGGTATAATTATTGTGGTTTTTCTAAAGAGTTCCTTTTTTGAGAATTCTTACTTCTTAGAGATACATACTGGAGTTTTATAGTAAAAATGATATAATATCTGGGATTTGCTTTAAGACAATTTGAGGGAGAACAATAGGGTTGTAGATCAAATAAGATGGGCCAGTTGTTGAAGCTGGGTAATCGGTATATGGCAATCATTATACTAGTCTCCCTACTTTTGTATTTGCTTTAAAATACATAATAAAAGGCTAAAAAGGAGAGAGAGAGAGTTCCTTACCAAAGTGTACCAGGTAGCCACAGTCAACCTATCAGAGTTGAGATTATGGATCAGCCTTCTCTGCTCAACTCCGGGCTGGAGCATGGTAATCCTGGCAAAGAGCCTGTGAACCAGGAAAGAACCCAGGGGTCTTAAAGGTGAGTCTGTTCTGATAGGGTCAGAAGCCTGATCCTTAGGGGGCACCTGGGTGGCTCAGTCGTTAAGCGTCTGCCTTTGGCTCAGGTCATGATCCCAGGGTCCTGGGATCAGGCTCCCTGCTCTGTGGGAAGCCTGCTTCTCCCTCTCCCACTCCCCCTGCTTGTGTTCCCTCTCTTGCTGTGCCTCTCTCTGTCAAATAAATAAATAAAATCTTAAAAAAAAAAAAAAAAAAGAAGAAGAAGCCTGATCCTTAGAACCTGGCTATTTTTACAGAATGCTTGCTTACTTGCTTTCCTTCTTTGTGTGTGTGTGTGTGTGTGTGTGTCTTTTTGTTGTTACTATTGTTCTCCCTCAATCTTTGGTAAAATTCTTTTATGGAAATTCCAACTTCCTTCAGAGGTAATCAGAGGGACCAGGGGAAGTTGGGTTTGCTTACCAAATGCTGAGACCTGCACTCTCAGGCCCAGCCCTCTTCTCCCACTGGCCCCCAATCTGCTAGCAACTTGGCCTTTCCCTCCTAGCAGGGGACTGGGACAAACTTCTCTGGGGCATCTGACCAGCCCAGGAGACACATTTTCAAGGCAATGAAATTGATAGAGGCCTGGGCAGAGCATCCTCCCCTCAGGTGAGACTTCCAATTGACCATCACCATAAGGACCATATTTATAGGGCAAATAACAGGGTTTGAAGTTAAACATTTGTCTGCCTACATACAGTTTGGAGCGAGCTACATTTCCATGTTATCATGTTTTTATATTTTTTTTCAAAGATTTTATTTATGTATTTGACAGAGAGAGACACAGTGAGAGAGGGAACACAAGCAGGGGGAGTGGGAGAAGGAGAAGCAGGTTTCCTGCTGAGCAGGGATCCCGATGTGGGGCTCGATCCCAGGACCCTGGGATCATGACCTGAGCCCTGAGCCGAAGGCAGACGCTTAACAACTGAGCCACCCAGGCGCCCCATGTTTTTATATTTTTAAGGAGCCTGGGCTATGAGTGTTTGCCTCCCCTCTCCCAGATTCCATGGAGGGGGAGGGCGGCCCAGCCTGGAGCAGGAGGGGATATGAGGCAAGATTGTAGCTCTTGCATCCAGAACAGAAGGGCCAGTTTTGACCTGGAGGCCAGATACTACATTTTAAACAACCAGGCTCCCAGTGTTATTCATACAGCATGAGTCTCACAAATAACATTCCTTAGCCTCTCAATCAGGACTCCAGCTGTTTCCACAGGGCTTCCCCCGGCTGATGAGGTGGCGTATTGTAAGTACCCGATTTGAGGTAACTTTGCCTTATTCTCATTTATTGCCTACTATTTATTACCTTCATCTAAGTGTAGCTTCCTTTTCTCTTCTGTTTCTATTAGGTTTCCATAATAATAATGAAGTTTTCTTTCCTTGTCGAAACCAAAACACGACTGTTATGAATCTTTTGTTCAGAATACCTCTTCTGCATATTTAATTTTCTCTCTTTCTAGGACTTCTGTTATCTGGATCCTGGCACTTACACTTCTACTGTCATACCTCTTAACTTTTACTCTAAATTTCCTAATTATTTATTCTTCACTGCTTCCTTCCTTGAGATATCTGATCTTGCAATTCACTGTTTATTAATTGCGCCCATTCTATTATTTATCCCATCTGTTGTGTCCTTTATTTCCACTATTATATTGTTCACATTTAATATTTCCTCTCACTTCTTTTTATGATTCCTTATTCTTATATTATTAATATCTTCCCTGTCTCCTTAAGTATATTTACTGAGCTTATTTTAAGTTATTGGTCCATCTGTTCTAATACTTCAAAAGATACATATTATCTCCTGTGTTACTTTCTTTTGAGAAACTTGTTCTCCTCAGCTGTCTAGTTATTTTGGCTTGTGAGGTCATATTCCCCACAAAATTCCAACCACTCTGTCTGATAGTGAGCTTAGGGAAAGAACTGAAGTTCAAACCCTGGTCCTTGTCAGCCGTGTGAGCACAAATGGAAGGGAGAGGAGGAGCCTAAGATGAGCACCAGAACCACAGGTAATGGCGCCTGTGTGCTCTTACCCCACTAGTCAAGGCTTCAACTTCGGACCCCATGGAAAAGCAGCACAGAGTGGAGGTGCTCTCTTGGGTTGGGACCCCCTAGCCCTGGGAGTGTAGAAGAGGAAAAGTAGAGAATAAATGCAGGAGGCCAGTCAGTTCCCAGTGACTTTCCCAATTACCCCAACAAGACCTGTTCTCTGTCCAAATAGTACCCCACTGATACCTACCCAAGCTTGATGGGCCATTTTCACAGAGTGAGGGAGGACAGGATGGTTTCCCCAAAGCAATAGAGTAGGGACAGGGAAAATAAAAATTAAAATAATATTCTGCCCCAAATTAAATGGACACTTCCACCTCTTTGCAGCTTTTTAATGCCAGGTTTTGGGGGAATAGTTCCAGGTACACCTCAAAAATCACAGGGTCCTCTTCTTGGCTTCAGTGGGAATGATTCCAGTGTTTCCCCAGTGAGCTCAAAGAAAGCTCTTCACATACTGATATAGAACCGTCTTCAAAATATAAGTGAAAGCAGGGTACAGAACAGTGCAATATGCTGTCATTTGTGTAAAGAAGGTGGCATGTGTGGGTGTGTGTTCATTTACTTGTATATGTACAGGACATCCCTGAAAGGTTACATGAGAAACTAAGACTATTGAAGGTCTCTGACAAGGGTACCTGAGTGATTAGGGACTGGGGTAGGAAATTTAAGCTGTTATGCTTTTTTGTAACTATTTTTAAACGTATTTTTAAGTTAATAAATATCTCAAATACACACACACAGTGTCTTATCATCAGATTCCAGGGTCCTCTCCCTGCTTGTGACCCTAATGTCTAGGTGGGTACAACACTGCCCATGTTGAAATCCTCCCCATTTTCACAACCCACCAAAAAATGCCACTTCCTTCATTAAGCCTTCTCTGAACACCACAGCAAGAAGATCCTCTCTCCTCTGAACTCTCAGCCCACATTGGTGACAACATTTTAAGGTCCTGATCACTTTCTACCACACAATTTCATTATCTGTATATCTATCACATCTCCTCTGCTCATTCATTTGGTCTTGAGGAATGCTACTTTGCTGAAATGGGCCCGGTATCTAAAATGCCACAAATTCCCAGGGGCATCCTCCAGGCTCATTTTAGATGATTCTCATTCACACAAGCCACATATTTGCCCTTCTGAATGTCCCCTAACCATTGTCCTAAACACGGGTCCACCACATCCAGGGCCAGTGACCTGAGGAGCACCAGGATCCCACATGCTGACAGGTCAATGAATTAATGGCCATTCTTTCAGCTTTATATATACGACAAAACTGAGCCACAGAAACCAACAGTCCAAGGTGACCAAATTTAGAGATGAGAGCAACAGCCTCTGACTCTCTTCTGTGACTGTTCTGGAGAATAGTACTCAGTCAGGGAAGTCCTTCTCACAGGACCGAAGAGGGGGCTAGGAAAGGTCTGTCCTCCTGATCTTTTGGAGGACCCACCTTCCCCAACATATTTGGTATTTTCGTTGTCATGTTTTACCTGTTCAGTTAAAGATAACGATTGTCCTCTTGCTTAAGTTGGCAAACACAAGAACTGTCACCCCATGGTCTCGAAGGATCTAGTCTCCTGCAAGCTGCCCAAGATGTATGACGGGAAGCTCAGGAAAGAGACAGGTGAGGCCTGGAACAAAGCAGACACAAATGCACTCATCAGAACTGCCCCCTGCCCCATCTCTCCTCCCAGGGCCCTTTTGCACAGGAAAGTTCCACCTGGTGGGCTCTTACAGAGTCTACCATGCTTGTTAAGGTGTAACCTCTTGGTGAGCCCTGACCCTTCTGGTACCAGGCTTGTATTTTATACTCACAGTTATTCTTGTATTATCAGCCTGTGCTATTTGCTCCTACGTCTGTTTCCTCTACCAGACACAGAGGGGAGGAGGATGGTGGAGTCAGGCTACAGGGTAGCCTGGGGTAGGGGCTGCCGTTGTTCACTACCGCAAGGTGGGTGTTTTCATCATCCTGGTACCCTCAGAACTCAGGAAGGACTTCAGAAACCAATACAGGACGCCCCTTTGGCCCCGCGGTCACAACTCTCTGGCTCCAGGTGGTAAGGGGGCTCTCGGCCCCGCCCCCTTGCCACCCCCTGCCGAGGGACCGGGGTTTAGGGAAAGCGGACTCCAGCACCTGGCGCAGACAGGTAAACCAGAGAAATGAGACCCGCGACCAGCGCCTCGGGCCTGGCCTCTGTTTGAGACGTTCCCCCCGACTTCACCCCTGTTCTGGATCCGGCTCGGGGAGGCTGGGAGAACCAAGAGCCCGGCGCCCTCTGCCAGGGCGCATGCGCAGGGTGGTCGGCGCCGGGCGAAACCCCTCGTCGCTTAAGCTCGCGACCAGCAGGGGGCGACACGAGGACGCCTCCCTGCTTGTGGCCGGGAGCTAAGGACGTGGTGGCCGGAGGGTGGGCTGGCACCTGACTGGGGGCTGCGAGGAAGAGAAGAGAAGCTCCCAGCTTCTCTGGGTAAAATTAGCGGAAAGATAGGACGTGGCAGTAGCGAGCATGCCTGGCGCGACCCCAGCCGTCCCCGCCACCCCGGACCGAGTGCTCACATGCTCGCCCCACCATCAGTGTGGTGTGGCCAGGGGTCGAGTCCACAGTGGGTGTTTAGTCCGTCTGAGAGTGCTTTGTCTGGGTCTCCACACACTTCTGTGTCTCTGACTCTGCCTGGCTCCATCTGTGCTTGTGTCTGGCACTGAGGCTGTAGATCCGAAAGGAAGAGGAGGGAACACCACCTCTTTCTAGCTCCTGCCTGAAGTCGGTATATATAATTAGCCCTACTCAACTCTCAGCCCTTACCTCAACCTGCAGCCTGCGAAAATTCTACTCTTCTGTTCATTGCACAGCCCCACTCAGGCTCAGCCCAAAGGGACATGGAGTAGGCTCTCCCCAGAGGGGCTGCAGAACCCTGAGGGACTGCTGGGAAGGAAAACATGTCCTATTCAGGAAGAGGTGGCTGGTGAGAGAGAGGTGCTGGGGACCCTCCACTGGACAGTTTCCTTAGTGAGCCTGAGGCCAGGGAGCCCTGGGCACTGTCTTCTCCCTTGTGGCCCACCTCTAACCCACGAAGCACCCTTGTGAAAATTAGCTCAGGCTGGTTTTCAGTCCCCATTTGCCTCCTGGGCCAGGTGACCTTGTATAATGCACAACCTGTCCAAACTGTACATGGCAGAAAACTGCATCCTGCTAGTCCCCATGGAGAGTAGAAACTCGGATTGTGAATAAGTCTGTGACCGGGCAGATGTCCACTTGTCCACCTCTACACTCCAGGACAGTGATGGAGGCAGTGACTATTCCTATAAGAACATAACACTTCTTGGGGCACCTGGGTGGCTCAGTCGGTTAGGCATCTGCCTTCGGCTCGGGTCCTGATCCCAGGGTCCTGGGATCGAGCCCCACATCGGGCTCCCTGCTCAGCAGGGAGTCTGCTTCTCCCTCTCCCTCTCCCCCTGCTTGTATTCCCTCTCTTGCTGTATCTCTCTCTGTCAAATAAATAAATAAAATCTTAAAAAAAAAAAAAAGAACATAACACTTCTTACTCCCATCAGGGGACCCACAACTCCTTGTGCGTCCCTCCAAAGCCTCTGACTCTGAAACTAATGGAATCTACAGGGTAGCTTCGGGAAGCCTGTGGCCTCTTCCCCTACAGTCTGGCATGTCCTGGCCAAGATGGTTGACTACTCCTCTGTGCTCAGCTCTGCTCCTGGGGACAGTTTTCACTGCCTAACTAGACCTGCAATGCTCTTTTTATATTTCTAAAACCAGGAACCCCTCTCAATGATGCCTTCTTTCTTCCCAAACTCTTGTCTCTGACTGAGTTCCTGGTCGTCACGACCTTTGACTTGGCAATGGTTTCTTAGATATAATACCAAAGTACAAGCAACCAAAGACACAGAGAAATTGGACTTCATCAAAAGTAAATACTTTTGTACTTCAAAGAACACTATCAGGAAAGTGACAAGACAACCCACAAATGGGAGATATATTTGCAAATCATATATCCGATAAGGGACTTGTATCTAGAATATACAAACAACCCTTAAACTCAATAATATAAAGACAAGTAACCCAATTAAAAATGGGCAAAGGATCTGAACAGACATTTCTCAAAAGATATACAGATGGCCAAAGACACCTAAAGATAGTCAACATCATTAATCATCAGAGAAGTGCAAGTCAAAACCATAATAAGATATCACTTCACACCTACTAGGATGGCTATAATCAAAAAGACAGGTAATAACAAATAACAACAAAAATGTAGGGGAAACTGGAACTCTCACATATTGCTGGTAGGAACATAAAATGGTGCAGCCATTTGGAAAACAGTGTGGCAGTTTCTCAGAAAGTTAAACACAGAGTTAACTCTTCAACCCAGCAATTCCACTCTCTTGGGTATATACCCAAGAGAAAGGAAAACATATGACCACACAAAAACTTTTACAAGAATATTCACAACAACATTATTAGTAACAGTAAAACAGTGGAAACAACCCAAATGTCCATCAACTGATGAATGGATAAAATGTGGTACAACCATATAATGGAACATTCTTTGGCATTAGTAGGGATGCTACATGCTACAAGGCGGATGAATCTTGAAAACATGACGAGAAATGAGAAAAGCTAGTCACAAAAAACTGCATGTTATACAATTCCATTTACATGAAATTCCAGGATAGGTAAAGCTATAGACCCAGAAAGTAGATTAATAATTGCCTAGGGCCTGGAGGCATGGGAGATTGAAAGTAGAAGAGCTAAAGCCTTCTCATTGGAGTGATGAAAATGTTCTAAAATTGATTGTGGGGACATTGCACAACTCTGTGAACAGACTAAAAACCATTGAATTATATACTTTAAATAGGTGAATTGATTGGTATGTGAATTATATCTCAACAAAGCTGTCACAAAGAAAGAAAGAAAGAAAGAAAGGAAGGAAGGAAGGAAGAAAGAAAGAAAGAAACGACCTCAGGAGCCAGCTGAAGGGAGTCCCACTGACTACATTTGGGATAATTTGCAAATTAAGTAAATAATGATAGTAACATGACTAACATTGACTAAAACATGAATCCATTGTACTTATTGTTATAAACAATGCATAGAAAATTTGACAAGTAATAGGATATATACATAGTCTCAGAGTTCCTCCCTAAAAATATTTATTAATTACAAAGGAAAAAATACTAACTTTACAGAGAGAAACTTAACAGACACCACCTCACTCAAATGATCAAAATTAACATCACCCGTATCTGGATAAAAAAATATCATGTCCCATCTGATAGGATACAGTGAGAGAATTCAGCACCAATTCAGTGGTATTCCTGCCACAGATGCATAATCTAAATTGAACCATGAGGAAATATCAGGCAAACCCATATATATATATATATATATCTGTCAGGATATTATATATAATAACTGGCCATGGAAGTCAAGAAAAGACTGGAACTGTTGCAGACTGAAGATAAATAAGAAGACAATGACAACTAAATACAGCATATAATCTTGACTGGATCTTTTTGCTATAGAGATACTGTCAGGACAACTGGCAAACCTTAATGAGGTCTGAGTCGTCCACGGCAATAATGTTGATTTTATTATTTTGACGATTGCATTATGATTATGAGGGAAATACAAAACAAAGCATATGTCAGCAATTTGTGCTCAAATGGGTCCAGGGCAGGGTGAGTTCTTTATACCTGACAACTTTTCCGTAAGTTTCAGATTGCTTAAAATAAGGCAAGAAACCATAATACATAAAAAGTAACTGGCCCATATTCTTCAAACAGTGTCTATGTTACAAAAAGGCAAAGAAAATTTGATGAACTGTTCCCAGCTAACGGAGACTAATAAGAACTCAAAAACTAAACACAACGAGGAATACTGGATTAGATCCTGGACCAGAAAAAAATAATAAAGGACATAATTGACACAAGTGGCAAATTTTGAATAAAATCTGAAGATTATATAATAGCATGTTAGATGTCCTGATTTTGATCATTGCACTATGGTCATGCAGATGAAGGACGTCCTTCTTTGAGAATATAAGGGGACACGGTGTCTGCCACTTATTCTCCCATGTGCCTGTAACAATAATTTTCTAAATATATAGGGAAAGAGAATGATAAAGCAAATGTAGCTAAGAAATAGGTTTACTGAAGTTCTTTGTACTATTCTTGTACCTTTTCCATAAATTTAAAAGTATTTAAAACTACAGTTTTTCAAAATAATGTTTAAAAAACAAGATGAGCGGCACCAGTCATTAAGCATCTGCCTTTGGCTCAGGTCATGATCCCAGGGTCCTGGGATGGAGCCCCGTGTTGGACTCCCTGCTCAGCAGGGAGCCTGCTTCTCCCTCTCCCACTCCCCCTGCTTGTGTTCCCCCTCTCGCTGTGTCTCTCTCTGTCAAATAAATAAATAAAATCTTTACAAAAATAAAATAAATAAAGTAAATAAAAAACAAGATGAAATCTAAAACCCGATGCACATGAATGAAAAGCACATGCACAAAAAATAATGCATATTTTGTGAGAAAGTATAACAACAAAGACATATACACTAAACACAATTCAATGGTTCCTTATTGGGGGGGCAGGGTGGGGAGGAAAATGGGAGCGTGTGGC